AAAAAAAAAAACTAAATTTGAGATCAAATAAATAAATTAGGGTTCGTAACTTGTATATAACATCTCTCTCGTGTTATCAGCACGTACACTGGAAATGCAAAAGAACAGCTACTGTTGTTGCTCGTGTCCGAACGACAGGAGATGCTTGGACAGTGGGAGACGTGAGTTGGAGTTGTCATCTCCTCCTCCTCACCATCATCATCACCATCACCACCATCACCATCACCATCGTCGACATCACCTTCTTCTTCATGTTCATTTCCTTCTTGTTCTTGTTCTTGTTCTTCATCTCCTTCTTCTTTTTTGTCTTCTTCTTCTTCTTCTTCTTGTTTCTTGGTTTGGGCTACAATCTTTGGTTCATCGTCGCTATGGGGTTGAATACCTTCTCCTCCTTTTTCCTTTGTCTCCTCATCATCGCTTTCTGAGTCTGATTCCTCCTCCTGTTCGGGATTCTTGACCGTTTCAGGTTTCTTCTCGAGGCGTTCTGGTTCCTTAACCGAAGGAATAACCGGATTGGCATCGGTTTTCTGGTTAACCGAACCATCCCTCTTTAGTTTTTCGCTCGACCTTAACAACGCAGCCAATGCTTGTTCACCCGAAAAACTAATATTGCTCATATGAATGCTAAACAACGACTCGTTAGAGGCCAGGCTCCACTCAACCGGATTGCTAAGTTTACTCGAGAAAACCGAGGAAGGGATCCGGTTCGGGTCATAACCGGGCATGCCAATCAGCTGGTTATGTTGGGAAGAGGGTGATAAACCGGTTTGAGAATTCCCAACAGAAGAAACCATTGTAGTGCTTGATTCCTTCTTATTCTGTTGCTCAGAAGCCGACACGAAATTCGCCGGACGAGGGATGTTCTTGCCGAGAATGATGTGTCCCTCCGAAGAATCCGATGACATGGACGATGCCGATGAACAAGACGAACCCGAACGCATCCATTGGTCATTCTCCTCGTCCCTCTTTCTCGGTTCCTGGCTCATGTTTCTCGTTCCAGTTTCCATGGCTTCTGTACATTACATTACAACGCATGTTGTCAGATTTGGACATCACGACATGTGACGTGCGATCTACGCAACCGAACAATTAACCAGAACTAATCAGGAATTAAGCAAATAATAAGAGATAATTAGATTTAGGAAAGAACCTTTTGCAAATGGGTGTTTCGTCTTTTGTTTTTTGTGTGTGCGCTCTTCTTCGATCCCTTCAAGAAATAAAAAAAATTCGGAAATAGTTTTATTTTATTTATACAAAGACAGATTTATTATGTCCAAGGAAGGAAGGAAAAAAAAAAAGAACAGCGAATTGTAACGGAAACAAATGTGAAAGAAGGCTTTAATGTCGTTGTGTGAGTTCAACGCAGGACAGCTACATGAAGGCGGGAACGATTAAGAACTAAACTAAGGGATTAGGTTGAGCTTAACAATGTTGATTAGTAACGGAGTTTAAACCTAATTCGGTTTTCATGATGCCACGTCTGCATCTTTTAACGTCGTTGTGATTGTTCTTGTTACCAATCGCCATTTATAGCTAAATGAGTCATTTTCGTCAAATTCAAATTTTAAAATAACAGAAATCCGGTATATATATTATTAATAATAAACAAACAGATAAATCGAAACCGGTATCGATGAGATTGGACCAACCTTGGATTGGTGAACCGGAATGAGCAGGAAGGGTAGTAATGTAATTTCACATTCCTTAAACCAGAGGCAGTTACCCTAGCGCGCCTGCCTCCGTCTCCGCCGCCGTCTTCTTCCTCTGAAACTGGTGATTGGAGGCTGGAAGGAGAAGAATAATGGAGTTCGAAGAAGGAGAAGATTCTTCACGGTGGCTCCATGTGAAGTTCGTCACGGAGCTGAACCCTCTATTCAAAGTTCCCGCCGCCTCTGTCGCCATCCCTTCCAATCTCACCAGGCTCGGCCTCTCTTCCATCGTTAATTCCCTTCTCCGTTCCGGTAGCTTCTCCTTCTCTCTCTCTCTCTCTCTCTCTCTCTCTCTCTATACCCTTTTGACGATCATTCGTTTGGTTTTGGTTTTGGTTTCGATGGTTGTAAGAAGATGGTCTAGTCCTTCTATTTATGTATGCCACAATTCAGAATGCTGTGAAATCTCAACCTTTTGAAACTCTGTTCAATCTTTGTTTGGTGAGACACACTAAATAAGGTTAGTCTCAATGCAGTGCCTGTTGCATTTCCACTATGGACAACTACGCTATGTGCTCAGTTTCGTAGTTTTTGCTTAATAGCAGTTCTTGGTCTTGGTTCTTCCAGGAAAAAACTCTTGAAATTGAATACATAAGGGCTGTAGCACCAAGAAAGGAGGAAGAGCCCTCATTACATGATGACTGGGTCAGTGCTGTGGATGGTTCTTATTCTAGGTACCCTTACATGTTTATTGCAATCTTTATAATATGAAGCAGTTTTGCCTGATCGGTTGACCTTTTAAATGTTTTGGTCGGGTTGGTAGTATGAATCACATCACATCCCCTTATTGAATTCTTAGAACTAGCATTGGTTTAGTTGACGCCCCCATGGAAAGCCATAAGACTGTGTCATGGTTAATGTACTTGACTGTCATGGCAGAGTTATGAGGAATATTTCAGTAAAATTTTTAGCTTCTACCTGTATCTATTGTGGGTTTGCTTGGAATGGAACCAATCTCCAATCATTGTCAGCCAATGATTTGTTATACTTCGAAGGTATTTATTTCTTTATTGTGTTTTGGTCGGGTTGAATCATACTTTTAAGTAATGGTGTTTATCTGCTATTGTCATTTCATTGTTATAAGATTCTCCGTTTCTTTTATATTTTAACCATGTAATAAACTCCAGGACCCTATTTAGTGCATAGGTGTACATGCTTTTTTGAAATCCATTATGGACTTGGTTAAGTTGATCTTGTTTCAATCAACTGGCAGGTCTATTTTGAGTGGCTGCTATGATGGCTTGGGACGGTAAACATTAGATTTATTTTTCCCCCTCTCTCGAGCATCTACTTATCTGGTCTTCTTGGTTTCTTTAAACGTTGGAAAGACCCTTAACTTTCGGTTTTCCTTTTGAATAGGATCTGGAGTTACGCTGGATCATGTACACACATTATAGAAGGCCATGCTGGTGCAATCTCCTCTGTTGCTGTTGTTAATTCTGATGTTATGAACAGAAAATGACATTTTTGTGCTATGCCTACTCTTTTCTGGCAGATGACATTGAGAAGAACTATTGCGTTTTTTGTGTGTTACTCCTTATCCTACCTTTTCCCATTATGCTTTTGCGGTTGTCCCATACATCCAGATGCAGAAGGTGTTACTGTGGCCACTGCATCAAAAGATCGGACATTGAGATTGTTCAAGGTAAATTTGGGATAATATATATCACTTCTGACCGGAGGTTGATATCTGATCATCTAAAATTGTTTCTTCCTGTAAAAAAGTTTGATCCAGCTGAATCTGTTGATATTCCTCCCACAAGATTAAGGGCTTACAACATATTGCGTGGGCACAAGGCATCAGTGCAAAGTGTTGCAGCACAAACATCTGGGGACATGGTTTGCCATAGTCTTTTTGGCTTACACATGTTTTAAAACTAGAATTTTCTTTGCTATATTAATTCACCATGTGTTTTAGCTCACCACCTCTTTTGTGGTGCGTGTAACCAGGTTTGCTCCAGCTCTTGGGACTGCACCATCAATCTATGGGATACAAGTGACTCTACTACAGGAGGGGAGTCAGTATCAGTGAAGAAAAAAAAAAGGGGATAATGAGGCAGAGGAATCCCAGTCAGAGGTACTAATGATAAAATCTGGATGTTGAGTTCATTCTTTTCATATTATAAATCAATTAACAATTTGATCCTGGAGGTGTTGAAAAGAAAGAGGGATGGCAAGGTGGGGGTTATAGCCTCAACAATTTCCTTCTTTCAGTTGAAGAAGTAATGGATAATAACTACAATATTTGGATTTCTTGCAGGGAGAAGCTCTAACTACGTTAGTGGGTCACACACAGTGTGTCTCGTCGGTACTTTGGCCAGAACGTGACACGATCTACTCTGCTTCATGGGACCATTCTGTGAGGAGGTGGGATGTCGAGACAGGGAAAGATTCTTTAAACTTGGTTTGCCCTCTCTCTCTCCCCCGTTCTTTCTCTTTCACACACAGTCACACACACACACACACAAGAAGTCTCTTGGTTAATGCGTGGAAAAATTCAATGCTTTGAGTTTCTTCCGTTAGAAGATGGATTTGAGAGAGAGAGCTAATTGTGTTGTTTATGTCCATTGTAGTTCTGCGGGAAAGCACTGAATTCTGTGGATGTTGGTGGTGAGAGTTCTGCACTTGTTGCTGCTGCTGGTTCAGATCCCATCCTTCGAGTATGGGATCCTCGCAAGCCAGGTCATTTCAAACCTCAAAACTCAACACTCTTAACAAATATGAACACATCCCTTTTTTTTGGCATGTGGGTCTTAACCTGCTAACGCCGTTTTCTGGTTGTTACTTTCTTTTGCAGGAACATCTGCTCCGGTGTTCCAATTCTTGTCGCATATGTCCTGGATCTCTGCCTGTAAATGGCACAAAAGCTCTTGGTTTCATTTGTTATCCACATCCCATGACGGGAAAATCATGCTCTGGGATCTTAGAACTGCTGTATTATCTCACAACCCTTTCTCTCATTTAATTTAGTAACCCCATTTCTTTCATCATCTGATCTAACAACACTGTCTAATACCCCGTTATTGCAGTGGCCATTGTCCGTGATCGATACACACAAGGACAAGGTACATGATCGATAATTGTGGGTCGGGATTCTTTCGTTTTGCTCGTCTATTAATATGGCCGGGACTCGGGGTTTCCTCCAGGTTTTAGCAGTGGACTGGTGGAGAGGAGACTGCGTTATCAGCGGAGGCGCAGACTCAAAGCTTCGGATTTGGTCCGGAATCTCTATCCAGTGAAAGGTGTGATTGAGCCCCTTCATAGAATTTTTTCACTGAGGAACCTAATACATACATTATAAGAGAATCATAAAGGTATTATCAATACACATGAACAATATATTTGACGCCCTTATATATGCATGCTCTCCGTCTAGAAAGCGGCTAAGGTTAAGGTTTATATCCAGACAGGTTTTGCCAACTGAAATCTCTTTGTCGTTCCTACAAGTCAAAGCTCATACTGTTTACACTCTATGGAATTTTGTCGTGGCTTATATCATTAATTGTAATTAAATATCATGAAGGTGTAGGTGGTCCATTACAAAAAAAAAGTTTTGTTTTTTAATTTGATTAAATGCTTAGGTAACAAATTGTATTTTTCCCATTTTTGTCTGCCAAACTGAGGACCGCAATTTGATTTGCTCCCCGGCGACGGGAATAAAATAATTGCATTAAATAAAATAATACGCAAAAATATATGGAGTATATTTCTTTGTTGTTTTCCTAAATCATATTCAAACTAAATTAAATATCTATATAATAATGGAATAAACAAGAGAAAAAGAATAAAGCGGGGGGCGGGGGGGAGGAAACATCCCGCGCGTGCCTAAAGCGCGTGGAATCCGCATATCGCCCACCTATATCCACTCCAATCTCTACCGTTGAATTTATCATTTATCGGCATCTCAACCGTTGGTTTTTCGAAGTGCTTAGAATACGCGATACAGAGAATCGCTGCCTCTTATTCCCTACCCAGAAATATATAATTTACATTTTCCCCAGAAAATAGCGTTTCTCTCTCCACTGTAGTTTCTCATCTGTGATATCGGTCCTTTATCTTCGGCTTCTTGTCCGAAAATTTCACAATTTGATAAACCTGAAAATTACTCGGTCTTCTCTTCAGACGACGAGGGGAAAGCGAGGTTTGCCGGAGAATATTTTTTGTACGAATTTTGCGGCATCTGGGGGGCAGAGGAAGAGGAGCTCGAAAAAGGGGAAAAAGGGAAATTGAATTTTTATTTTTTCCATCTCGGTATTTGGGTGGTAAATTGAGACGTGTTAAAGTTTGCTGCTCCAGTGAAGAAGAGCCCTAGACTGTTCTCCGCTTCTCCTTCTTCCCGGATCACAACTTTCTGCTTCGTTTCGGTAATTCAGAGCTTCTTTTACAGCTTTCCCGTTCTGGGCGATGTTGGTTTAGAGTTCGATGATTCTGCTTTTAATTCTGCAATTTTATAGTTTCGAATTACGCCCTGAAAAATTACTGGGCGGATGCCTCTACAGTTCCTCTTTTGGGTTTCCGCTCAGAACTTGGCGGTTTTGGGTGTTTAGGGTTTGTATTCTGGGATTTTCCCCCGATTTAGTGCTTTTGAATTTCACTTTTCAGAAGGTTGCTGGAAATATCGGTGATTTTTTCGCCCTTGTTTCATTCGTAGTCCATGTTTGGAAATTCACTCGTGTGTTAGTTAATTCGGGTTTGCACTAAAGGCTCCCAATTCAATTAAGCTGTGGAGCAATTTGTGCAATGGGTTCGTCTTTTACACAGTACATTGAGCAGAGTTGTTAAAAATGAGTTTAAAGACTTTGTTTTGTTTTGTCGTGCTGGGCTCCCTGTTGGAACTCTTGGTAGTATTCAGATAAAAGCTGGTCGGTTCAAGAGTTGAAATTTTTCACGGGGATGGTTCTGTTGTTCTTTAGAATTGTCTGTGATCTGAGCTCCAGATCGGATATTTTGAATAGTATCAATTTTTTTCCCGAAGGTGTTTTTATTGTTCTTGTACTGTTATAATCATTACAGAAAAAATTTGCTATCTTTTGTTGGATTTGGTGAACCATGATATCCGCATCAATGCTCCTGGAAGATTTCCTAAGTTTCTACTTCGCTATCATCTGTAATAAGAAAAAAAAAAGAAACTTTGGGTTTGGGAATACCATTCTGAATTCTCCCATTTATTTGAATTATTGATTGATACTATAGATGAAAGAAAGAGAAGCTGTTGGATTTGGTGAACCATGGTTCACTGTTTATTGCGATTGTTGAGGAAATTATATTTGTGTGGTTCTGTTGGCATTGCTATTTTCTGATGCTTGTCGGTTTTGCAGCATGATGGATCTACTGTCTATGGAAAAGATTAGCCGGTGAAATTTGGTGATCGGGACTTAAATGCTTGGTAACGAATGTGAAAACGGGTTCTGCAATTTATTTGAGCTAAAAGACTTTTCCCGTGCCACCCAGCGCGTGACACGGGTTGCAGATACTTTGAGAGGGCAAGTCATAGATAAAGATATTACTAATATTGGACCACCCTTGAATTTCAATCTGAACGCACAGCAACCAGGTAACTCTTAATTATTGTCTTTTGCTTTTGAATTATTTCTCAGTGCTTGCTGGACATAAATATTCACCCTGATCGATTCATAACTGAATCCAGGGGATGTGTTCTCAGGAACCTTCTATTTGAACCATTCGGTGGATCGAAATGTTTTCCCACTTGAACAGCATCATTTCCAGGGAATGCGAAATCAACAGGGCTTGTTCTTGGACAGCTTAAGTTATTACCAAAACAATATAATCTCAGGGGTTTCATCTGGGTTTAAGTTTCAGCAAGAAAATGACTCCGTGGGCAGTCCAACCTTGACGACAAATTCAGAAAGGTCTGAGATAACTGAAGCTTCAACTGATTTTTGTTTACAGAAAAGGCAAAAGATAAATTTCTGTCCAGCAAAACCTCTTTCCACAGAGTATCCTTATGCAGCAATTTGGGTATGATGAGATGCAGTTGTTGCAACAGCAAGTGTTGCTCAAACAACTACAGGTTCTTCAGAGGCAACAACTTCAGCAACAGAACTTTTTAAGTCCGTTTTCGCCAGCCCATAGGCAAGCTAATAGTGGGCAGTTTCCACCACTCATTGATGGAACATCTCTTGGCGATGCATCACAAGGATATATAAACTTGCCACAGAGGATCACATCCCCTGCTCAACAAGGAACACTCAACAGAACCTTGTTTCCCATAGGCCTAGGTTCTCATCAGCTTGATGCTTCTCTATATGGTACTCCGGTTGCTAATGCGAGAGGCAATATGGGTCAACAGTCACCAATGCAAGCCATGTATCAGGACTCCGGTAGTCTAGCAGCTAAGATCTCTGGTCAAATACAGAAACCTGTATCGCAGTTATCAGACTTTAGTAACTCATTCCTGAAAGATCAGTATAAATTTTCTCCAGCTCAGGTTTCCTTACCGCAGGGAGCTTTTATGTCGGATTTGGGGTTTCAGGGGAAAGGTACACCAGAAGCTGGTCCTGCCTATGGTTTGAACATTGGACTATATTCTGACAATCTCGTGATGGGAAATTCTCAACAAATCAACACATCTTCAAGCACCTGCAGTGGGAGGCAAGAGCAAGTGAGTTGGTCCTCAGTTCAGCAAACAGATGCAAAACCATCTCAGGGTTTAGTTCCTCTAGACCCATTAGAAGAGAAGATCCTCTTTAATATGGAGGATAGTAGTATATCCGATATTGCATCTGGAGTCTTTGGAGACAAATATGACGATGCCAATTTCTCCAACACATTCCCTTCCATCCAGAGTGGAAGTTGGAGCGCTTTAATGCAGTCTGCTGTTGCAGAAGCTTCTAGCAGCGATACTGGTGTGCAGGATGAGTTTAGCGGTTTGACATATCAGAATATGGAACTATCGGCTGATAATAACATAACAAAGTTTAGAGATAGTGATAAGCAACAAGCAGGTTGGGTAAATGATAGCTTGCCTTGCTCAGCATCCTTTACCTCCAAATCGTTGGAGATGGATAATAATCCCGATATAGGCTCTAGTTTCCCCGGTTTTCAGATGCTTTCAGATCAGCAGAGAGTAGGTAGCTGTCATGGTGATGGTACTCCTGAATCTACTCAGAGATCTTCGAAGGTAAGCGGGCTACCCATCGGAGGATACCGACAGGTACAAACAGGTGTGCAGTTTGATGGCACCTCTGCAGGTAAGATGCACTCCGCCGAAATACTCAATCAGGTGCATTCTCGAATAGGAAACCTTGCAACCTGTAGAGATGATTCATCTGCAAATAACTTAAGCGGTACGTCGAATTCCTTTCAGCCATTGGCTTCTGCACTTGATCTTTCTCAAAGTGGAAAATGGGAAAATGTATCTGGTCCTCTTGGAAGAGCCGGTGTATTTCCCAGTTTCATACAACAGAATGATCCTGCTACAATATCTGCATCTGGTGCTTTGAGCGAAAGAAACGAATCTCAGGTTCAAATGGTCCATCCACTTGTAGCATCTGAATCCGACAATGCAAACCAAATGTCTACTCACTCTGGCTTACCTGGCCAGGATGTCACTCGACAGTTCAATGTGTGGATGGACTTGCCGACTCGCCAACATCCTCGAGATCAGGAATCATCCAAGGTTCCTTTGGATACAAAGTCATCTGCTGATTTATTGGGGGGTAATGTTGTAAGCTGGCAGAAATCTCATGTTCCGTCTGGGGCTTACAATGTTCCGCAAAGGGTTGGTTTGCCTCAATTTCAGGGTTCTAAGCTTGTCTCTGGTTCAATTGCTGCCAACAAAGACTTTCCATCTGTCAGCCTGGGCTGCAAACCAAGCGAACCTGTGCCTCAGAGCTATCCATCGCTTAACATTTTACAGGTGGCAAACAATGCAGACACTGATGCATCTAAGACTGGTGTGAATTCTGATACTGGTCCCACTATCCAGAGAGGCGTTGGCATCTTTGGTCAAAAGTTATACGAAGAGAACTCTGGACTTAAAGTCTCGATGAATAGTGGGATGAACTCAATGGCACAGCTTAATCAATTTGCATCCGGGGACGCAAAAATGAACTCGATGGCTGAAGCAAGGAAAACTCAAATTGAACAAATTGTGCCACAGAACCTACTTCCAGGTGTTTGCTCCAGTGGGATGGTTTCCCTAGCCCAGTGGCACTCTCACAATCAGTGCAATGGCAGCAGCAATGTCGTTGCTAGTAGCTTGGAACATGGCCGTGTCCATCTTCCTGCGTCAACGTCTATCTCGTTCAAGCAGATAGGGGCTTTAAAAAACGGCGAGATACAACCTGTATATGATTCTAAGAACATTCCCATTGGCAATTTGTCTTCTGTGAAACATGCAGATGTGGTTCCTTATACAGAACAAGAACTTTCTGCTCAGGATGTTAGGTCTTTGGACACAATGGACCAAAATATGGCTATGATCATATCCAAGAAACGCAAATTTATGGCACGCCCTTGGCATGAAGAAGTTACACATGTATCCAAACGACACCAAACGATGAGGTTATTGTATTTTCCTCTCCTGTGTTTGTTTCTTGACTTCTCCCTTCCCAATCTACTAACTTTAAATGTCTCCTGCAGTGTGGCAGGACAAGAGTGGGCCCAAATTACCAATAGGCTGATTGAGAAGGTTTGGTTTTTGCTAGAGAGATTGTTCAGTAATCCAGCAATCATTTAAATTTTACAAAATGTGATTCTACTTGGACCAATTATCCTTTTTGTTTCCTTGTAGGGAGAATACGAGATTGGGGAGATTGAATCTGTCCAACCATTTCCCCGAGCAAAGAGAAGGCTAGTACTGACTGCACAACTTATGCAGCAGCTTTTCCGCCCAGCACCCGCGTTCATTTTCTTGTCCGATGTATCATCAAGCTATCATAGTCTGTTATACTTCGTCGCTAGAGTAAACTTAGGCGATGCATGCTGCCTTACATACAAAGGAGAAAATGGTCTGCCATCATCTTCTAACGAGGTTAACAAGTGGGTATTGTGCTGATAAACTAATTGTTCCATATCCCTTGTAATACTAGCTAAAATTAAAGTCATATTCTCATATATATGGTCCTAAAATCATGTTTCCTGGAATATATAGGTTTCCGGAAAAGATCGAAACGCTCAAGAAAAGAGGGGATCAGCAATATCTTGAAGTTGCTAAAGAGTTGACAGAGAAGGTAAAGAAGGTGGAAGGTGACTTTGAAAGGTATGAACTACTTAGCTGCTGAATCATCTTACCGGCCGCATTCATATTATCACCGATCCTCGAAATACTGAAAGAAAGAAACATGCCGATATGTTCATAGTTATTGAGAAAGTTAAATTGAATTTCTTGACTGATAGACATGGCAACAGTCACCAACTTAGTGTAATAGGACCATTTCTTTTCTTTGATGTAGACTGGAAAAAACAGCTTCAGTGGCAGAAATCAAATTTGAGATTGAGGATTTGGAAAGATTTGCTGTCATCAACCGTTTTGCGAGGTTTCATAGCAGGGCACCACAAGTTAACAACTCTGGTAACCCATCACCACCCGGTGTGCCAAAACCGATACCACAGAGATACATCACAGCAGTACTCTCCCCAAAAACCCTACCAGAGAGAGTACAATGCCTTTCGCTTTGATTTTTTTCCCAACTAATCATCTTCTCTGTCGATTTGTCCCTTCTGCTCTGCTCATGACATCCCAGAACTGCACCGCATCCTTCTTGGATCTCACTATACTAATATTCTTTGTCACTCAACATGGAAGAAAAAAGATCAAAACATCAGACGGGAATGCTGACACCTGTTGCTGTGGCTCTGATGAAGTAAATATTGTTTTTATTGTGTATTTTTGGTGAAAACATGAATCCTGGAATGATACAAGTATAGGGTCACTTAAAGAGCAGGATGATCCTTAGTTTTACAAATATGCTTTTATGAGTATGTTGCGTTGACTTAGTTGAATTCAGCATCCTTATGAATACATGCCTGTCAACATTGGCTTGTATACCCTTTTGTCAGTCTTTTTCAGGTTCCTTCCTTTCGCTTCTTGGCTTCTGCCCCTTTATGGTTTCAGGTTTAAAGATCTATAAGCTGTCTAAGGAAGCCAATCACATGTCAGAGGTTAGCCGAACATCGAGGGAGCTGATACAAGAGGTACGTTGCTAGGCTTTCACATACTTGGATCTATTTGGTATCTGCTTGCGTAAATGAAATGTGGTATGATAACTACTAGAGGACTCGCACCATTGTGTTTAGCCTGTTGATTGAGAGATGGCATATGAATCACACTGGTTGAGGGTCTTAACGCTACAGAAAAAATGTAGAAGAAGATGCAAATTCAGTGGAATAATTAATCTGAAGTTCATTGCAAAGAATTAATGTAGAATATATGAAGGAAGAAGAAAGAACCTCTTCTTTTTCCCCCAAAAGATTGGAGATATCATACTTAATGTAGAACCTATGAAGTTCATTGCAAAGAAAAAATCTGATTGGATTTTGTCTGGTTCTTCCAAACTTTTAGGAAGTGGTGTCAGAAAGTTGAGGTGGCACATCAGTTTATGCGGTAACCGTACTCTAAACTGTCTGTTCAGACCTGTCGGAATTGGATACAGTCGGTAGACAATGACAGGCAATACTACATATATAATTATATTTGCATATACATGACTACACAAGGACTAGCAAGTTCTGTTCATATTTTTCTTGTAATTTCTTTTGCATTAGCTTTTTCCCAATAAGAGCCAAGAGATGAAGCTACTTCAATTAAGGACGAGCGTTTCACACTGCCTTGCGCAACAAGGAATCCAAAACACTGCCAATGACTTAACGGTAGTTATTTAACATTTTCTTTTGTACCAGACTAAAGCCAACAAAAAACACGACCCATCTACATAGAAACAGGACTGGTCCAAAGAAAGTCTCGGAAACAGAGCCATTTCCGACCCCAAACAGAAGAAAAACCAGCCCAAACCAACGAATTACGTACGGTAGAAGCGGTTCAAACGGGTTTTTCGTCTGAACCCGACCTTCATGGTACGATCACAAGCAGCGGCTGCATAAAGAGTTACAACATTAACCATGGGTTAGCCATTCCAAAAACTGATCCTCAATAAACACACAACAACGTTTGTCGGTTAAGCTCACAGTTTAAGTTTAAACTGAAAAAGCCACAATAAACCAACATTGAGAGAGAGAGAGAGAGCGAGCGAGTACCGTGTCGAGGCTGACAGGTTTTCCATCTTCAGCCAGTATCTTGGCAACAGTTCCTGATTGATCAGCCTGTTTCAACGTATGACGTTTCACAAAATTTCGCAAGTCAGAACGGGAAATCTCTGTACATACACACTTTAAAACAAATTTTCACATTCAAATGCAAAAGGGCACTTATCAGAATTACAGTCTCAAGTAATGTTAACCCATAAGCGAGTAAGATGGTCTTATTTCTTAAGGAATCAGAAACAGACCTCGATTTCGTTCATCAGTTTCATAGCCTCAATAATGCAAACAACTTGACCCTTCTGAATCTTGTCTCCAACCTGCAAATCCACAATTAAGTATCTGAAGAACTTGCCACCATAAGAATGGAAAACAATGCAAACTTGCTCTCTGAATCTCTCTCTCTCATTTTTTTCTTCAAATTTTGGCAACAATATCACCGGTCAGAAATTTTTGTTGTTGTTGCATGTATGTTTTTGATTGGGGGGTCGTTCTTGGAATATCGAAATTCAAAAGAAGAAAGATAGAAGTGTACCTTAATGAAAGGAGGTTCACCGGGTGCAGGAGATCGGTAGAAGGTGCCAGCCATAGGAGATTTGAGGGGAGGATGAGACGGGGAAGGGCTAGCCGGAGCAGCAGGAGCAGCCACAGAGGCTGAGGGGGCAGAGCTTGGATCGGCTGGTTGAGCCGGAGGCATAACCATTGGAGGCGGCATTGAGAAGAGCGGAGCTGCTGCTGCTGGTGGTGCTGCTGCTACAGGCTGCTGTAGAGCTTCCTTCTTCCTTATAATGATCTCGCAGTCCAGTTGTTTCAGTTCAAGCTCCACTATGTCTCTTGAATCCACAAGCCTTCAGTTTTAAAAAGTTTACATACAACTTCTTTGTCAAAATGATACGTAGCTATTCTATTCGCTGCATTGTATATGCTCTGTCATATCATATAACCAAGAATAAAAATGCTAGTGCCGAACAGGCAGTGCCATATTGTTACCCTTACCAACACAAATTTACATTGTCTAAGTGGTCTATATGCTATTTCATATTTCCAGGATCTGATCCAGCATGCAATCAAAGGTCAACAATGAAAGAATTATCGATGAGAGATGCTCCGGTTCTAGTATGGACTTACTTGACAAGGTCAGAGACTTGAGCCATAAAAACCGGGAGTACAGCAGGATCATGAACATTGTTATCCACAATTTCAGCTTTTCCATTCAAGGATCCACTTTTCACAACTTCAGAGTTGGAAGCAACCTTCACCATGTTGAATGTAAGTTTAACAGAGGAGAAGGCAAATAATATTTCACTCATTGTGGAATTACTGGAAAAGCCAGCCATAATACCGTATCAACTGTTGCATGGAGACTCCAGAATGCAGATTGCTTCTGGTTGAAGGGTTGCACCTGAAAAACACGGAGAAAGAGTTATGATCAATATATATCTGTTCTTAATACCAATCGAAACACCCAAATCATTACTTCAAAATATGGCACACTGAATAGTCATAACTTCTTGACACTAATGGAACAGTGACACATTCAAGGGACAAAGTCTGGTGTAACATCACTCTATTTCTTTCCCTTTTTATGAAAGGAAAGGATATCATCAATCTATTTCCTCTTATGTCTCGGAAATCTGGAGAGGAATACAGCTTTTTAGTCGAAATCTCACGAACAAAAACTGGAAAGAGAAAAAAGAAAAAGGGAAAACAACACAGCACCTCTAACCAGTTATTATTGCCAAAGAAAGCAACACCATTGACCCTAAACAACGAATTAACTATAACAGATTTTACCCAATTTGAAAACTCTCAGAAGGGCTAAAGAAACTGCAAACCTTCCCCGCCAAGTTCAATCTTTTAACAACACATGAACAGAAATATACAGTAGACATTACATTACGACTTGAAAAAAAAAGCAGATAAAAAACGAAGGTGAAGAAGATTGACCTGGGAGGCATCAGACACATTGGAAAATGAGATTCTGTTGAGTTTCCGGTGTGAGCTCCCGGAGATGGAGCCGAACCGGTTGGAAGCGCAGATCTTCGGACAAGGCAAAGACAGCGACGCCATCGATACACGCACAAGGGGAGAGATTGCAGAGGAAATGTGAGGGATTTACAGGGACGGAAGAAGAAGAAGAGGAAGAGAGATTCGGGGGAGAAAATGGGTGGGCGATCACCGGGAGGAGATTTCGATGCTTACAACAATGACAAATGATTCAATGAAGGAAGATCCAGATGGCTCTCTACTTGTTAGTTGTTTTTAAGTTGTAATACGAAATACGAATAGTCCTCTGTTCGTTTTCGTTTTGGTAAGACGCATCGTTTCGTCTCTTTTTTTGGGTACAATAAAGCAGCCAAAAAAAAGTCCCACGCGCCTCTCTCCGGAATTTTAGAAAACAAGCAAAATCGGTGGACTTATAGTGCGGGAGATTTGGGGCGGTGGCATCCACGCGCCATTGGTGCGCGTGGGATGATCCAACGGAGCAAATACAAATTTATGGGCTTTTTGGGCCCAATTAGAGACATCGTTATGGTCCTTGAAGAACTTTTTTGGGCCCAATCAGAGACATCGGTAGTGTCCTTAATGAGCTTTCTTCGGCCCAATTAGATCTCCTCCGCAAGCCCTCTCTCCGACGCCGTAATAAGTTGCATTGTGGCTCCGACCAAAGGGAACGGTGAAGATGAAAGCAGCGCAAAGAGAGAGAGAGAGAGAGAGAGAGAGAGAGAGAGAGAGAGAGAGAGTCAATTTCAAAAGCTTATGCATTTTTTTTTGCACTCTCTCAGCTTCTTCAAAAAGTACAAAACAAGAAGAAAAAAAAAGGAATCCCTCTCTCTCTAGCTTTGTTTATTGCAGTCCCCCACTGAAGGGAAGAGGGCTTAACAAAAAAAAAAAAAAAAGAGAGAGAGAGTAAATGAGGCTTATTTTTTACCAGTGAGTGGCCATACAAGGGGAAGGAACCAAATAGACAGAAGCCAAGAATAATGAATCATCCATCACCTGCTTTTTGCCCTCTGATAAAAAAATGCCTTCTTATGTGACCGTTGTTCTTTTTATGGGGTAATGTTTCGGAGATGTATAACTTAGTAGCGGTTCCAGTAGGTTCTGCGCCTGAACCAGTTGTAGTCTGGCAACCCCTGTATCGGTCCTATCCCCGATATCGCTATGTCCTGCCCAAACAACACAAACGATTTACAAGCTCGATCGAAATATGCCCCCAAAAAAAAAAGAGATGGGAGAGATGAATGAGACAGACAGACAGACCCTATCATAAATAAATCTGTTGGCTACACGTTTGACAGTGCTTGCATCCACTGCATCTATCCTCGCAAACAGCTCCGGCGTCGGGATTCTCCGTCCGTATGTTAGCAGCTGCCCACACCACACGCAGACTCCTCTTGTTAGTCAAACAGAACAAGACATGCACAATGTATTCTGAAAGTAAAGAACAAAAGAGAGCAAGAGATGTCATACCTGACGGCCAATATCTTCAGCAACTGGGCTGGTTCCGTCCAGGTGAAGCAACAAGGAGGATTTCAGCTGCAAAAACGATAGAGACGATGAACTGAATCACCTGGTGCCTAAGCTAGTCTAAAAACTCGAAACAGTGTCAAGGAATGAAAGGGCGAGTGAGTGAACCAAATAAAAAGTCTAACTTGGGCGTTACCTGATTACGTGCTCGAGTCACATCAGCTTCAGAAACACGGTAGGCTAACTTGGTCACCTCATACATAATGGCATATGCTAAGTCATCCAAGCAGTCGGGCTGATATGAAATAATCACAAACAGTTACAAGATACATATAGGGTGGCAAAAAAAATGGTATTATGACCATCAAAAGATTTCAAGGGGTAGTAGTTCATCCCATTACTCACCTTGGCAACAGCATAAACACCAAAGAGTCCAGTATCCTTGTAGTTGGTGTTGAACGCCATTATGCTTTCCGCTACTTCATTGATGGCAACCCTTTGGGCTAGCTCAGAACTGCCCATAGACACACAAAACTAATCAATATAGATTGCGAGAAAGCATGGCTCCTAAACAGTGGCAGACCATATTAGCTTGGGGAAAAGTCTTACCCCATGTGTTTTCCCCCACCAACGCTTTTATTCCATGAACCTAACATGGTCTGCATAACCATAAGTGCGACAGAATCTGGATCTGTCCAAGATGCTCCCTCAAAGGCAACAGCAAATTGAGCCAGGGGCAGGTCATCATCAATCATTCGGACCTAATAACAACAATTCAAAGACTAACAATTTTAGAAAGGTGAAACGTCACAGAAACAAAACAGCAATTGAGGATGTACTCTAGGTTGTATCTGTACCTCAGAACCTGTGAAGTTTGCAGGTTCCTTCGCAACCAACTGAGAAGTAGTTATTGAATCAGCTGAGAACTTGGTAAATAATTTCTTCACTTGCTCAACAACTTCATCATGCTTGACAGCTCCTGCAGCAGCAATCACCTGAAACATAATCCACAATTAATTGGAGAATGTGACAAGGGAAACGAAAAAAGAAAAGAAGGTTCAAGATTTCCAAAAGTACCATCCTGGGAGCTGTGTAATGAGTGTTTATGTAGTTCTGAAGATCCTCTCTTGTGATTGACTTGACATTCTGAGCAGGTCCCAGAATAGTTCTTCCAAGCGGTGTGTATTGGAAAGCAGTTGCATGCAAATGGTCAAGAACAACTTCGTCGGTTTGTCCCTCAACCTACATGCAACCAAATACTATTATCAACTACTCCCAGTATAAAAAATAGTTCCCCCCAAAAAGAAATGGTACACATATATCTATCCATATGTGCTGCGATTTCCTAGCTGATCGAACTACACTATAGAACCCAAAAAGAAATTCTATCTTCATCTTAACCAAATGAAGAAATCCACAAAGCATGTTACTTTAGCTATAGGTAGAGAGGAGTTCATACTGCGGCAGCAGCATCATAGAGTAAGAATTTCAACAAATCAATTCGTTTAGCCGACCTCATGCAAATTGCAAAAGCCATAATTTGAAGCCATTAAGCTGTCGGTGAGAGATAAACTCAGAGTTAGAAAAAAAAACAAAAAAAAAACACAAGCAAACAATCGCCATTAAGCACCGAACAGTAAGCTATCACAAAGTAAACCCACGAATCAATAACAGAAGAAAGGTTGATTTTTTTTTTAACAAACAAGTAATAGATACCTCCTGCATTTCCCTCAAGATCACGTCCCGCTCTCGGTTAATCCTCTGTTCATCGAACTTCGAGTTCTGCAATATATCCGCCAACACATCCAGCGCCTGGTTCACATCCTTATCCATTACCTTAGCGTAGTAAGTGGTTTGTTCCCTCGATGTATAGGCGTTCAGATGCCCGCCGATATCCTCGATCTCTTCTTCCAAAGCTTTCACACCGCGCCTCTCAGTACCCTTGAATATCATATGCTCTAGAAAATGAGCCGTACCGTTCGTCTCATCCGCCTCGAACCGCGATCCAGCATCGATCCAAACCCCGACGGTGGCGGTCTTCACCGCAAGATTTGACTCGGTAGCGATCCGGAGACCATTGGGCAAGGTCGTGACACGAGTCTCCGGAGCCGACAGTATGTGGTTGTGCGAGGTCAGTGTCGGGTGAGGAGACGCGTATTTGAGGAACCTCGGATCCGGATTCTCAAGCTTCTTGATCTTTGATTTCACGATCTCCGCCGCGCGGTCGTAGGGCATCACATGCGGCGGCGGAGGAGATGGAGTCGCCGGGGATATCGACGGAGACGAGGAGGCGATAGCCGAGGCCGATGAGGACGATCTCACGGACTGATTTAGAGACAGACGTCTCTGCGACCGACGAGCTAAGGTGAGGAGATGCTTCATCGCCATGGTTGATGGCTTCTCTCGCTCTCTAGGGTTTGATTAGTACCCAAAATGGGAGAAGACTATCGGGAAGAGAGCTCGAAGACGCGGAGTAATTAGCAGCTCAAAACGACAGCGTTTCACTCTAATGATAAGACGGCGCCTTTTTAATGATCGTAATTGTTAAGTCTGGGCCTTATGGACCGTCAATGGGCCGGATTAATCGGGTCAAGTGAGGATCTGGATCCGAAACCGCTTTGAAGAAAACCCTAATGGAATCCATATATATACGCACACATTGAGAAAGAATAATAAAAACCCTAACTTTGGACAGAGAGCGAGAGATTCAGCTGTAGAAGATCAGGGCTGTTTCGTCTCTCGTCCTTGAGCTACTGTTCTTCGGAAATGGCGACTGGTAAAACTGTTAAAGATGTCTCGCCTCACGATTTCGTGAAGGCTTATGCTTCTCACCTCAAGCGATCTGGCAAGGTTAGTGTCTTTACTGTTCTACTCTTTTAATCGGTTTCTTTTCGCGATCATTGGAGATTCGGAGGATAAATTGTAGATAAAGTATGGGCTGTATTGCTTTCTGGTGTAATGTATCCTTGAGGAAGAGATGAGTCTGGAAAATACGAATTTCATAACTTTGTTCGTTCACTATCGGTTCTGTTTACGTTCCTCTGTTCTATATGTTAGATGTCATCATATGCTCAAGTAAATTTAACACATGAATTTTCTGATTAGTAAAGTAATTGGTTGAAAAAGTTATCTGGATGAGTTTATGATCATGATGTCCATACGGGCCTGTTGAATTCGAGTCCTTTAGCGCATCCACGTTTCAGCACCTTGCGTTTGTAATTGTTCATAGGCGCCTTGTGTATTTCTTTCCCAGAAACCAAATGTTTCGACTTCGTTTCTTGAATCTGCAAAGCGTATAAGGTTTATTTATGTTTGCTTGAATTGGCAAAAATGTTAGAAGGTTTATTTATGTTTGCATCAGATCGAGCTTCCTCCATGGACGGATATTGTGAAGACAGGCACTCTAAAGGAACTCGCCCCTTATGACCCGGATTGGTACTACATCCGAGCTGGTAACGCTCTTTCTCTATCCCTCTCTTCATTTGTTAATGATTATAAATGCTTCATGGATATGAATATGATTCTTCTCTGCAGCATCTATGGCAAGGAAGATCTACCTTAGGGGTGGTCTCGGTGTCGGTGCTTTCCAAAGAATTTATGGTGGTAGCAAAAGGAATGGAAGCCGACCTCCTCACTTTGGCAAGAGCAGCGGTGCCATTGCCCGTCACATTCTTCAGCAGTTGCAAAACATGAACATTGTTGAGCTCGACACAAAAGGGTAAACATTTAAAAATTCAAGCTTCTTGTGAATTCAGAGGTTTGCAGGCCATCTGTAATGAAGCAGAGAACCCTAACCCTGTGTTTGCTTATCCGTTTCTTTTTTGCAGTGGAAGAAGAATCACTTCGAGCGGTCAGCGGGATTTGGACCAAGTTGCTGGCCGCATCACTGTGGCACCTTGATGGGTCGAACGTTCCTTTTCTCTAAATGTACTTTGGAGAGCAAATCATTGATCGATCATCACATATAATGTTGAGAGAACTTTTGGGTTTTGGGGTGTTTTGATTTTTACTCTTATGCCTTGTTCATCATGAACCCTTTTGACGTCTAAGTTATTGAAGTTTTGTCATCATCAACATGGATCTTGTATCCCAAGGCCCTGTTGTGCTTTTAAAGTCTGCATAAATTTCATCAAATATGTGAACCCATGAGAGATTGGTAAGCAGTTGGTCTAACTGAGATTTATCAAGTGTTTTGCATGATTTGCCCATTCATAGTTCAGTTTCTTTGGGTTTGATCAAGTCATTCTCTAGTATATGATATAGTAACTAGGTTGTAAAGGTAGCATGTTTATCGAATTGTGTCAATTTAAAGCACATAATCAGCCGAACCAGAAAATAAAGGCAGAATTCATTAATTTGCTTTTTTTTTTTAATGTATTTGGGAACACACACCACTGTGTGGCGGGTAAAACCATTGTTATTTACCTTGTTGGTACATCTGTACCGGGATAAACCGGAAATAACCGGACTTCTCTGATTGATTGTCTACGGCACAAACACGCCAGTTGCGGCGTGGGGACATGCATCCAGAACCTGCAACTATTGGTTGCTTCATCAAATCTATTACAAGTGTAGGAATGGCAAACCGAACGTAATAAACCAAAAGAGAGTTCAGAAGAAGTCTTGAAGATCACAAGTGTAGGATCCGGTTTCACTCCAAGACGACGAAATGCTGCAGCATCTGATCTTCTTGTGCTGAGTTATGTGAAAACTTGGATCCCGGGGTATGGTCGGATGTTTCATGGACCTTAAAACGACGACAATAAGCAAAAATTGGTTAGCATGGATTTTGTTATCTAGGGCTAAAATATGCAAGTTAAAAATCCCAAATCGACCGAGCAAGGTTATTTCTATTTACCGCCTTTACCTCCTAGGAACGAATGGTCGATCAAAGTATGGCATTGGTTGTGCCTTGGGGGTCAACTCTTTTCTCAGCCTCCGAATCTCTTCTTCTTCTGCCAGCTGAAGAACCAAGCGGTGCCAATTTACCAAATTCCCGACAAACAATACCCAGCAGCAGATGATTTTATTAGGTATGGCACAGCATGTCTCATGCTCTTACCTCCTGCTGTTGTTCTCTTTCCATTTTGTATAGCTCTATTAGGCTCATCTTCTCAGCAACCTAGCGTCACAATTTCACGTCATAGCATGAAGATATTTATTAACATCACAGGACAATTATATGCCACTTTAGTATATGAGTTGTCTATGCTGTTTGACTTGACAGTATCAGCTTAAAGATCATGAAAGCCAGAGGCATGCCTAGGTATTTATAGCGGTATTTCTAAACTTCAACAGGCATGATGTGTCTCTCAATCATTGTGGTTTTGTCACAGTGTGCACATGGTTACCTGGAAAACCCAACAAAACGTAACGATATTCATAGAAAAAAAAGTTTGACCTGGTGATCAAATTCTGCCCGTTCCATTGCCCGTATGTCACTGTGGAGCTTTAAGTCGGCTGGTTTCGTGATCTCTTTCCCAGGAGGCTTAATCAGGCTCTGAAACAAAGAACAATATCAGTATGAACTACAAGCATTTATAAGATCCTGCTGTCAACGCATGGACATACTCTATCTACTTGTCTTTCCAGGAGCAGCCAACTTAATTACAATGCCAGAGAATAGAATTTTCAACCAATCCCATTACAATCACCAGGTTACTTGCTGTCTTAAACTACCAAGATTAACTTAATGATGTTGAAGAGCAGCAAAGGCTACTCACCTCAGGTTCATCAGTTGTCAATGGAAGACCTTGAGCAATGGGAATTCTCATCTTTTCTTCCTCTATCATCATCTCTTGGAGCTTCTTTGCAAATTCTTCTTCCTTCGTTCTTCCCCATTCCTGTTAAGAAATAGAAGACGTCCGAAAGCTTCTCTCTTCTCCTCTTCATCGTAGACATTCCGATTTGGCCCGGCTGCCCATATGCGTCTTCTTCGACCTCGAACCCACAGCCATCAGCAACATTACGACCTGAATGAACGCATTCTTGTGCAGCGGAGCAATCCAAATCTGCCTTTCCTTCCTCTGTTTCGCTTCATTTTTTGTAGAACTCCTCTTGAGAAGCCCGAAGAGTTTCATATGCGACGCATAAACATTTCTTCATGTTCCTCTTGGACCTTGCGTCGCACTTGCAGTCAACTTCCGCAGCCGCATTCTTCTCCTTCTTCGACTTCTTCTTCGCCACCACAAACCTCCTCTCTCTGCGCCAATTCCGTGGCGAGAAAACCACCGTATTGGAGTTAGGGTTAAGATTGAGATTCTTCTGCGCCAATTTCTGCGACTTGGCTGACTTCACAAGCGGAGATCCGGCTTATTTCGCGAGTGGAGATCTTGAGGATCTGGCAAGGCTCGCATATGCAACATTAGGGTTCAAATTCTCCGAAGATCCAGAAGAAATATTTTGAATTTTCGATAGGAACTTGGTCAAGTCCTTCACCGGAGGCCCCGGTTTCGTACTCTTCGAAATCGACGACTCCATCTCCGATGGGAAAAAATGAAGCGAACCACGAATCAGAATAGGATCAGAAGAAAGAAGTTATGCCGAAATCGACCCACGAATTGTATGCAGATGGTGATTTAGGGTTTCTTCCCAAGGAGCAAGACGAAGAGGCGGAGGAGGTGGCTTTTGGACGCGCTCTGTAACGGCTAGTGTTGTGTTGGATTATCGACTTAAACATGAGGTTTAATCTTGACCGTTCGATCAAGGCGATTAATTTGTAAACATAAGCTCATTTCTATCTTTTTTTAATTAGTGAGCTTTTAATTAAGCCAGTTATTTATTTATTTTTTGTAATCTTTGATGAAGATATTATTTTCATACTTGCTGTGGACCCTCTCAACGGAACCAAAGGTTTCCCCTCCTCTATTTTCCGCCAAATCCAAAATAAAAGCCTCTCCTTCGTTCCCTCGCTCAGAACTTGTTTGATCTCTCTCTCTCTCTCTCTGTGTTTTGTTCCCTCTTTCTTCCTCTCTCTCTCAATCGATCTTTCTTTTTCCGGGAAAGTGAGAGAAAATCGGATCTTTCGTGTCTTCTCGTTCTTCTTCATCCTTCAGTGACCTGATCAAGACCTTCATTTCCTCGCTCCTGAAGCTGAATCTTTCTTGCCCGTCTGCTACTACTCTATCTCTGGCGATTTCTACTGCATTTTCTCGGGAAGTTGACGGAAAATTCATCAGATTTCTTGCCATTCTCAGCTTATCAGTTCGGATAATGGACGAATATCTGCTCTCTACTCTCTTTGACGCACTTTGTCTGTTAGTCCTCTGCTACTCCATCGCTGTCTTCTTCTACTCGATTATGAAAGCTTTACTCAACTTGTAATGGAAGAACATCAAGAACTCGACAAATCCATCTGCGAATTCTGCAACGAGCGGTT